ATATTTAAGAGCCATAAAAACCAAATATAATGTGTAGAACTCATTTTGATCCCAATTCAGGCAAATCTATGGGAGAAAGCAAGGAAATCTATTATGGACTGGGTTTAGAATGACACCTAGGCATTAGTAGTCAGTTAGGTGTGCTGATGGCATTGTGCTATGTAAGAAAATGTCCAAAATTTTTACAGCTTCATACTGAAATATGTCTGAGCAAAATGACATGTCTGTGGTTTGTTTCAAAATACTTTGACAGTGAAAAAAAGTCTTGATAGTAGTTGAATCTGGGAGGTGGGGAGGATGGGTTTATAGTGCCCTTTACTTTCATGTATGTTTGAAATTTTTCACAATAAAAATATTAAAGTATACGTAGTTCAAATAGTTTTAAAGTCTTGTTATGAAAAAAAGCAGCCCCCTGTCTCTCTCTGTTACTTCCCAAGAGTAACTACTTTAACCTCTTCTAAAAGAGTATTTGGGTATTAACTTTCTATATAACCTGTCTGCTACTTCCTGATTTTTTTTTTTTTTTTTTTGGTGTTATTTGCAAACTTTTCACTACAGAAGATAATTTATTTTTCCTTCCATACACACTCCCTCCCCCACCATGCCCACATAACTATTCAAGTCCTTAATCCTCCTAATACATGACAATGATCAGAATTCATTTTGTCACTCTACTATTATGGTTACATAAATACTAAGTGTTACTTTTCTATACGACTTTTTATTCTCACTGGAATTAATAACTGTCTTTTTATCGGCTTGATTTCTCTGTGTGCTATATATATTAATCTACTCCAAACCTTCCACCAACTATTCATTTGGTTCTCAAGGTATGGACCATGTACCCCTAGGAATCCCTGAGACCCTTCCAGGAGTCCAGGAGGTCAAAACTATTTTCATAATAATACTAAGGCAGTGTTTGTCCTTTCCACATGCTGACATTTACACTGGTGGCACAAAAGCCCTCGTGGGTAAAGCGGCTGCCTTGGTGCAAATCCGACAATGGCACCCAGCGCATCTGTGGCTACTGCACTCCAATACCTCATACTTGTATCGAACAACTGAATGCTCTGACCAGAGGAGTAAAGATTATTAATTTTATGATGTCTCAACCCTTGATTGCTAGTCTTTTTCACTTTTGCTGCATGTAGAAGCACGCTGGTGGTCTTGAGGAAAAGCATTTACATAACTGAGTCGTGAACTGATTGCTCATTTTATGGAGCACCATTTTCACCTGAAGGAACAACTGACACACAAACTATAGTTATTTAGACTCGGGTATTTTGGGGAGAGTGAGCACACACTCTGGTGTCTGTTTTGTTTTTGTTTGTTTGTTTTTTTTTGTCCACACGCGGTCTCACTATGTTGCCCAGGCTGTGCGATTCTCTTGCCTCAGCCTCCCAAAGTGCTGGGATTACGGGCATGAGCCACAGTGCCCAGCCCCGCCCCCCACCTTTTTTTTTTGAGGTAGAATCTTACTCCTATTGCCCAGGCTGGAGTGCAGTGGCGTGATCATGGCTCACTGCAGGCTCGATTTCCCAGGCTTAGGTGATCCTCCCACCTGAACCTCCTGAGTAGCTGGGACTACAGGCGCATGCCACCACACCTGGTTAATTTTTGTATTTTTAGTAGAGACAGGGTTTCAATATGTTGCCCAAGCTGATCTCGAACTCCTGGGGTCAAGCAATCTGCCCACTTCAGCCTCCCAAAGTGTTGGGACTACAGGTGTTAGCCACTGTGCCTGGTGCAACCAACTTCTGAGAAACTATTAAAGTCTGGTGTAGTACAAAAATGAATAGCCACAATTATCTGAAAAAGTTATTAAAACGCTCCTTTCTTTTCCAGCTACATATCTACATATCAACCAAAACAACTGATTCCAACAGACAGAATGTAGAAGCCCATGAGAGGATCCAACTTAGCGTCTTCTTTTTTCTTTTTCAGATGGAGTTTCGCTCTTATTGCCCAGGCTGGAGTGCAATGGCACGATCTCAGATCACCGCAACCTCCGCCTCCTGGGTTCAAGTGATTGTCCTGCCTCAGCCTCCCAAGTGGCTGAGATTATAGGTGCCCGCCACGAGGTCCAGCTAATTTTTGTATTTTTAGTAGAGGTGGGGTTTCACCATGTTGGCCAGGCTGGTCTTGAACTCCTGACCTCAAGTGATCCACCTGCCTCGGCCTGTGAAAGTGCTAGGATAACAGGTGTAAGCTATGGCGCCCGGCGCTTAGCATCTTCTTTAAGACAGACCTGAAGGATAGTGTAGTAGCTTCGACAGGGATACTGACTATCTGGCCCTTTACAGGAAAAGTCTGCCAGCCCTGATCTAAGTGATTCCTTCACTTCTTTCCTGTATTGGATTATTTGTTTCCTGGGTCCCATGTCTTCCTCTTTCTTCATTTACTCCTCCTTCATTTTGGTGAAGCACAACCTCTGGTGGCTTCCTGAGAAAGGGTGTATGAGATGGACATTTTTGTTGAAGCCTTGTATGTCTGGAAAAGCCCTTTCCTACCCTTTTTATCGATAGCTTTGTTGGGTACAGAATTTTGGCATGGAGATCACGGTCCTTCAGAAATTAGAAAGCTTTGCTTCACTGTCATCTAATTTCTAGGGTTGTGGTAGAAAAGTCTGAAGTTATTCTGATTTCTGATTTTATTGTATGTCTTTTCTTTGTCCACAGTGTTCTGAAATTTTATAATGTTGTGTCTTGATGATGTGTCTCTATACCTGTGCTAGGCAGTATGCCCTTTCAATATGGAAAATTATATCTTCCAGGAATGGGGCATTTCCTAAAATTATATTGTTGATCATTTCTTTTCCTCTGTTTACTTTGTTCTCTATTTCTGGAATGGTCATTGAACAGATATTGTATATCTTGGACTAGTCCTCCAATTTTTTGTCTTTTCCATATCTTTCTGGGACAACTCCCAACTTTACCTTTCAATAGATATCTTGAATCTCTAATTCTTCTAACCTATGTTTAATTCCCAAGAGCTCTTTTTTCCCTCCAAATGTTTCTTTTTTTAAAGTATCAAGATTTTGTGATACAGCTATTTCTTTTTTTAAAAAATTCCCTAAAGACATAAGTGCTAATTTCTTTTCCCTGCTAGTGTATTTCGTTCTAGTTACTTTTTCCTGTGTGTTTTCTTCATTTCCTGTTTGTTTACTTTTTTCCTGTTTGTTTGTACTCCAGTTGAATTATATATATACTTAAGAGCCCAAGGGCTAAGTGTAAACTCTGGACAGGGCTTCATCAAAGTAAAATAAAGCTATTGTTGAATCAATGCATTAGTAATAGCTTCCCTATTTCATATTAGAAGCTTCTTTCGGGTTGTCTCTTCATACATGGAAATGAAATCCTAAAAAGCTCTGACTGCGTGGGTGAAGCTTATTAATAGTCTGTAAACTTTACTGTAGGGAGAGACAGCTGGGCTGTTGATTGGGAAACTCTTAAGGTTAGTATCTTTATGTTTTTATTACTTGCTATTCAGATTCCTCAGAGATTTTCCCACGTCCCGACTCATGGATATAGGCCTGGCGACCAGAATTCTGGGGCTGGCAGCAAAAAGAAAGCTGATACTCTTAACATTCAGTATGCCAACAGTCACTCAATCTCCCCCAAGGTGTCACTGCCATCAAGCATGTTTGATGTTCTCTAGTTCCGACACCTCTTACTTTACCCTGTCCAGAGAACACATTTCTGATCTTCCGCTAAGTTACAGGAGGGGCAATTTTTAAAAATAAACTTTCAATACTGTTGTTAGCCTCATTCTCCCCCACCCCTCCCCCACCTTCTAGAATTATCTGGTACTGTCAATTTCTGAATTGTTTAGGGTTCTTCTGCGTAAACTGGGTTGTTTCTTGGCTTTCTCTATTGCTGGCTCAGGATTCAGCTTTCTCAGGACTGCTAAGTCAGTTACACTCATCCATCTGCTACCCAGATTCCAAAATTTTGTTGCTGTTGTCTCCTCTCCCACTCTCTTTGTCCTTGTGGGTTTATGTCTTAAAAAAAAATCCCTTTACTGTTGTTTTAGTGAGGTTTTGGGAGGGAATGAAAGTAAATGTGGGTATTTGATCCTCTATCTTTATTTGGAACCTCTTTATAATTAAATATCTTTTTTTACTTCCATTTAATATTACAGTATAAACACTTCCCATGTTCTTCCATGGTCTCTGTCAACAACTTTAATAACTGCATATATTCCATTGAGAAGGCACCAGAGCTTACTTAATCAGGACCCTACTTCTGAATGTTTGGAGTTGTTTCGGTTGCAGGAGGGGACTAGTTTCTCTTTCATGTATCTCTCTCCTGTCGTTCCCTATGATATGCATAGGCACATCCCGATAACAGGCACAGACATCTTTTTCCCTATGCTTAGGAATCCCTGCTGACATCCTTCTCTCTGTTCTTGGTCTGTGGTTTCACCACCTTGTGCCTTGATTATAGCACTACCTTGCTAATTCATCTTCACAGCTCCAATCATCCTGCATGACGATGCACCACTGACCTTTCTACAATCAGCTTTCTCATGACACTTCAGAGGAGCCCTAACACCTACAATTCATTTGTGATTCTCCAGTTTGATTTCACCCCACCTATGTAAACTTCCCACTTTACCTAACATCCACCTCCAAACAGGCTCTGCTCTCCTAACTGCAGGCTGGGCTGCCCCTCCTGCCTTTGCCAATCCTCATTCAATCCCACTTACACCCTGTCTCCTGCATTAGCCTCCCGGGCATCACTCTGCTTACTCAATTTCTTCCTTCACCTGATAACAGACATGAAACCTGTTCAAAGTGCTTAGGGTCAGTCTTGCCTTCTAAGTGGGGCCGACGGCTCTTCTGAGGCAGGGACTCTGACATTTCTCTATGACGGCTGCTCCATATCTCCCTTGTCCTGGCTACCATGGCACCCAAGCCAGTGCCAGGCACATGGTGAGTACTTCATGACTCATGGAATGGAACAGAGGTAAGTGGAGAAAGAAAACGTGTAAGTTGTTACCTTGCCCTCTGGAGTCAGTGTCCAGATCACAGAGAAGGTCAGCTTGTCAGACATGGGGTTGAGGCTGCACAGCTCCTCACACAGCAGCCTGGGAAGCATGGGGACCACCTGGAAAACAGAGCACAGGCCCATGAGCACCTTTCTCCAACCTGCTTAGGAGAAGCCCAGCGGGCAGAGTTTTGGTGAACAGCTTCAGCTTTTCCAGAGCAAGCTGAAGATGGAGGTGGCTCTGTTCCCAAAGACTCTGCAGAAAGACCACACTATTGTATACTTTTCCATGTGCCTCTAGAGTCAGATGGGAATGTGAGCTGGGAAAGTGAGGAGAACTGGTAAAAGAAGACAAAAAGCACATTGCAAGCAATGGAAAATAGCTACATTGTATTATCTACTAAACCTGAAGCTCCAGACTCAAGAAGTACTTGTGCTTTTGGATATAAGTACTCCAGTTGAATTATACATATACTTAAGAGCCCAAGAGCTGAGTGTAAACTCTGGACAGGATTTCGTTAAAAGTAAAATAAGCTATTGTTATTGCTGAATCAATGTTTTAGTAATTGAATATACCGCAATTTACCAAATTACATTTTGGAACATTAAGAGAATACTTCACTAAAATATCACTGGAGTGATAAAACTGAAAGGGTCATACATCCAGGTTTCCCAGATAAACATTGTGATCAAGTAGTTATCTAGTTTCCCATTTTTTAAGCCTAAATCATTTATTCTCCTTATTGTTCTTTCTGTTCCATAATAAACTGAGTCAACAGTATATACTCTTTAATTAAAAATTGTTTTTCAGCTTACTTTCAAATGATGACTAGAAGTGGTCCCAAAATATTACTTGTTTTTTTCTAGTATTCCAAAGATGAAATGAGTATCTCTACCTGTATCTCCTGAAGATACTTCAAAAACTCTCTCCTATCTACGCCTATCTGTTCCTTTTCCCATATTTTTCTTGGGACCATCCACCCCATCTCTCTAACTAAAAACATCAGCAGTACTAGCCATTTACTCAACACACTTACTATGGCCCACTTTGGCTTGCAGTGTTGAGCATGGATAACACTGAAATCCCATGCTAGGTAACTGAGAAGTGATACGCAAAGGGCGGCCATGCTGTAGTTGAGGTACATTTAGCAAATTATGTTTCTTTATGGGCAGAAACAGAACAAACCCCAGCAGCTTCTTATTCTGCATGAAGTATCTGCAACTGTACTCTACTTTAGTACAGTAAATATCTTTGGTATGGAACAGTAAATTCTAGAACTCATGGCCCAAACCAATAACAAATAATTGGCAATTGTTTGGTATTTCTAAAAAATGCCATCTCTTTTAACATCTATATGAAACCTAATGACTACCTGGTATCTTTGGTAATAGCTTTTCCTAACAGCCTTTGGTAAAAGCTTTTACAGACAACTACTTTTGAAATTTTTTTCTTGCATTACTTTTGCACCATCAGTTCAGACAATACTATATTTTCTTTGCTAACTTATTTTGTGATGCATTACAATGTAATCCAAATATTTAACATTTTCTTGTATATATCAAGTGTTTTATAAAATGGTACATCTTCACCTGTTTAAAAATAGTGCACAAAATGGAGAAAGCTTCAATATGATACCATCATGGTTGAATGATAAAGATTTCACATACTCAGCCTTTGGGCTATCCTAGGGACTGAATTGGCACCCTCCCTGCCACCCCCCCACCCCACCCCGCAGTTATATGTTAAAGCCCTAACCCCCAGTGTGACCGTATATAGAGATAGGGTCTTTCAGAGGTAAGTAAGGTTAAATGAGGACATGGGGTGGTGCCCTGGTCTAATAGACTGGTGACTTTATAAGACGAGAAAGAGACACAAGTCTCTCTCTGCATGAGTAGGCACAGAGAAAAAGGCCATGTGAGGCCACAGCCATATACAAATGAAGAAGAGACCATCACCAGGAACTGAATTGGCTAGCACCTTGATATGGGACTCTGGCCTCCAAAACTGGGAGAAAATAAATCTCTGTTGTTTAAACTATGGCATGTCACTATAGGAGCCTGAGCTAAGACAGACTACATCAAGTTTGCTGGGTGTGCATTCTTGTATTCTCCTCTGGGCTGCATTAACAGACAGTTTGTTCTATCAACTGTATTTTGGTAACTGGCTGCTCAGTCACCCAGCATGCTTGTTGCAATGACATTAGTCCAGGGCGTAATGCCTTTTGTACAGATAGTGTGTCTTCTAAGTGTTCAAGGCAGTATCTTACTTTAAGTCACAAAACTGAGCATCTGATAATGCATTATAGTTCCTAACTTCATATTTTAGTGTTTGTCAAAAGAAAGTCATTATAACTTGGGCCAGAACTAGACCGTGGAACAGAAGGGAAATACTGATGGAAAAACTAGTGAAATTCAAATAAAGTAAGGAGTTTAGCTAACAGTAATATTCCAATGTCAGTTTCTGAGTTAGGACACATGAAGCGTAGTCACATAAGACATTAACATGGAGGAACTGGGTATGGGACCACTCTGTCCTACCCTTGCAAGTTCTCTGTCAACTGCAAGCATTCCAAAATAAATGAGCTTATTAAAAAGAAAGTCACTGTTTTCATTAATTGGTGTTGTGTTACACATTTAAATATGAAATAAATGTATGCTAATTATCTAGTGAAAACCTGATCTGTTTCTATATGTTGGAATTTGGGGTTCAGATATAATTTGCAAAAAGGGCCTCACCACTTAAAAAAATACAACAAGGTCTAAAGACCTTTTTACCAATGAGTGAAGAAGTATAGACTCAGCAGCAGCATGGTGCAGGAAATAGAACAAAGGCTTTGCCACCTTTCCTGCGGGCTTGGGGGCTAATCCTGGGCTGACTGCTTCTTGTACACTTTGGGCAAGTTAGTAAAATTTTGAGTCTTGGTCTTCTTATTGGTAGAACAATACTGAAGACGCTCAGTGAAAGCTCACTGGCCAGTCCGTGGTGTCCAAGGTGTGCTGTCACCGGGCTCAGCATTCCCTTCCGCCTTGTGCCCTGGCCCTGTCCTGGGGCACTGGCAACAGCAGTCACATGGGCCTTCCCGCTGCACCCCCTTCACCTGTCTGTGTGCTGCTCCAGCTCTTGCTTGTGCCAGTCCCTCTTTCTGAAACACCTTTCTAGATATTTTACATCTGGCAAACTCTTGTACATCCTTTCAGATTCAGTTCATTGCCACTAAAAGGTTTATCCAAAATCCCCCAGGCATAGTGTGTGCTGTATTTTATATACCTCCCCTGTTCTTTCAAAGATGATTTGGGGCCATCCTACACAGTCAGCCACTTACTCCATCCTCCCTGCTCTTCAGCTGCATTCACCACACTGTCCTAATTGCTTCTTCAGGTGCCTCGAGTGCCACGGACACTGAAACCTCAGGAGCAAGGGCCAGGCCTCACTCCTGTCTCTCTCTACACCTGATGCATGGTAGGCACTTCCAGTGTGTAGACAACTGACTGGCTTCTGCCCAGGAGATGGATCACCTCTTTTTTTCTATGTTTACTGCATCACATAAAACATTTTATGAAATACACGAGACTTATATTTAAGCATCTCGACAAAAAAAACTTCATAAACAACTAGAATTTTAAGTATAAGCTACACTGTTTGGGCTACTACCTCCTAAAACTTATCAGTACATGCAGTGATTGTGCAGGCTATAAAAATTGTGTGGTGTCCTATATCTTACACAAAAGACATTTTATTAATCACACTGCAATGGTCAGTTACCAATCTAAGTGCTCATGAAAAAGCTGAACTGTAAAACTTTTTGGTTAGTATAATTATATTTAATTTTTTTTTTTTTTTTTGACACAGTCTTGCTCTGTCGCCCAGGCTGGAGTGCAGTGGCGTGCTCTCGGTTCACTGCAAGCTCCACCTCCCAGGTTCATGCTATTCTCTGGCCTCAACCTCCCGAGTAGCTGGGACTACAGGCGCCCACTACCATGCCCGGTTAATTTTTTGTATTTTTAGTAGATACGGGGTTTCACCGTGGTCTCGATCTCTAGACCTCATGATCCACCCGCCTCAGCCTCCCAAAGTGCTGGGATTATAGGTGTGAGCCACTACGCCTGGTCCCTATTATATTTAATTTTTAAGAAGCATTCCTTATAAAAGACATTTACCAGGTCTTAAAGCAGAATTGAGTTGAAATTCTCATAGAAAACACTCTTTATGTTTATATAGTTTTGTAAATAGATGGTTATTCCTCTGTGTTTCAAAGGAAAAGGAATTAAGAGGTTACAATCACATTTGTGGTTTGGCACATCAGTCTCTCATAAATGGGGCCTAATTCCTGCCAGCGTCACTGTGAATGTGCTCTCCCACAACCCCAGGCACAGCAGGATCCCTGTGGAGGAGGGCTGGAAAGGAGAGGCAGGCAGCCCCTTCTGATCAGCTGCTTTCTCCAATCCAAGTCCCGTATGTCAGAGGGAGACTCACCTGGACCATGGCGTAAGAGTCCATGCACACAGGTCAGCTACATGAGGCCTGCCATGGTTCCTGAGAGCCTCGGGGCCAGGGTGATAAGTGTGGAACACCATGTCTGACTGGAAAAGAAAGGTCTCTCCAAGAGTTGGGAAATTCCTGGCTATCATTAAAACTGTGCAAATGTTCACACATTCCCTGACCCCTTGATCCTTTTCCCCAGTCTTATCCTATCTTGTCCTCATTAACTTCGCTACGCAGTGTGAACCACAAGGATAATTCCTTCAAGGTTCTTTATTTACCTCACTTCTACTATCCCAGCTCCACAAACCCCATGATCCATCTTATAAATCGGCCTTTCCTACTTCTGCAAGTCCTCACTGAGCAGTGACAGAGAAAATTGCTGGGCCATATGGAGGTGAGTTGCTAGGCTGTCTTAGTTCTTACCTCCATGAGGGTTGGCAGGCCTTTCACCTGTCTTTGTTAGTTCCTTCCCCACACCCCTCAGATGAGGTCCCAAAATATTACTACTCTCCTCAGACCTCTTACCTGACTGCCTTCTCAATCTTTCTCAATAGAAAACCTCAACTCTTCTTCACAAAGAAAACTGAGATCATCAGACTCAATCTGTTGCAAGCAACCTACCAGCTCTTCCCTTTGG